CACACACACACTCGCACACACGCACACGCGCAGGCACACATCACACACACACACACACACACACGCACACAGACACACACAGACACACACACACACACGCACACACACACACACACACACACACACACACACACACACACACTACACACACACACACACACGCACTAGCGCGAGATCACCGTCTCTCACTCAAGAGAGGAGACAATCTCGATGCCGAGCTCGTCCATGCCGGCGTAGGCGGAGAGGCATGCGGCGCGCACGCACTTTGTCCACCTCCGCAACGTGCGACGGACGGACGGCGGCGGCTCCTTCGTCGAGAGCGAGCACCTCGATTTCTTTTGCTAGCGCGTATTTCTTTTTTATAGGCGGCGGCTCTTTCGTCGAGAGCGAGCACGTCGATTTCTTTTGCTAGCGTGTATTTCTTTTTTTAGGCGGCGGCTCCTTCGTCGAGAGCGACCACCTCGATGGCGATGTCGACATGTTTCGCATCGTGCGCACGTTTGCACGCGAGGCCGCCCGGCGGCAGCGCGACGGCGACGCGGCCGCCCTTGCCGTTAAGAGCCCTTAGGCTATCTCGCGCAATCTCGCGTCATCTCGGCGTAGGCGACGCGCGGCCGCGCTTGCCGTTCCGGCCGGACCACGGTGATGGGAGATGCGTTGCCTAATACGCCGAGATTACGCGAGATTACGCGAGATGGCCACCTGCCCTAGGCGAGCGCCTTACCACATCTCCCCACCTCTCCCCACCTCTCCCCACATCTCCCCATCCCCCACATCTCCCCACTTCTCCCCACACCTCCCCACACCTCCACACATCTCCCCACACCTCCCCACACCTCCCCACATCTCCACCACATCTCCCCTTCAGGGCACAAGATGCTCGACGACCTGGGGGAAGGCCGAGCCACAAACCCGGGCTACACGGCGATTGGGCGGCTGCGCGGCCTCGCCGAGATCCGAGGCTTGCAAGAGGCGATCCTGCGCTACGAGGCAAAGGCCGTGTGAGCTCGCAAGCGAGCTCGGTCAATCGCACAATCCCGGGGAAGGGGGGGAAGGGGGGGGGGGGGGGGGGGGGAGGACAGCGATGCCAACACGTTTGTCATCGCACACAGTGAGCCGAACATTGTTCGACCAGCCTCCTGCGCCGCTGAGAGCAGTCGGTGGCGGTGGCCCCCTCGTGTCGCCCAATGAGGTGGGGCTGCTGCCCGCAGTTTGCTTGGCCGCATTGCCGTCGTTTCCTGCTGGATGGCGCGCCGAGGACCACGCCAGAGATTGCCCGACATGATGCCCGAGATTGCCCGAGATTGTTGCAGATGGCGCGCCGAGCACCACTCCCCACCTGCCGCAGCCCCTCCCGCCCGACAGCCTATGAGGACCACTCCGCGCTCTTTCTGATCCGCCGTGAGGATCACACACCGGCAGTTTGAGAATATCTGAGGCTGTGCTCTGCGAGCTGCGATCGCCCTCCGGGCCACCCCTTGGACCACACATCTGAGCACACCTCACCCCGCCCCCCCGCCCCGCCGCCTCGTGTGCAGGCGTTGCGGCGCGGGCGAGCCGCGCCGCGGAGCTAGGAGAGAGCAGCCGGCGATCACGACGAGCAGGCGTTGCTGCGTGTCGCTCTTGACTTCGATCGACACGCTTCCTGCACGCTTCACGCGTGAGCCCAGCGCCGAGGCCCAACGTGCGCAGTTGTGTGTGTACAGTATGGACTCAATTTCGGACCCGGAGTATGGGGGCATGGCCATGGGCAGAAAAATTAGATATTCTTATCTTTTTGCCCCCCCCCCCCCCTCCGAGGAGTGTATTCTTTTTCGAGGTCAACCCGCCATGCGGCAGGTGGCTTGCTTTGGCTCGCTGCCACCGCGGTGGGTCACCAAGAGCTTCTCCGCGGAATGGGAGAGTGCACTCACGGCTGACGAGGCTGACTACATTCAAAAAAAATTGCTTTTACCCTGCGAAAGACACTACTCTCCCCCCCCCGTCACTCGTCCCCCTTGGCGTGGCGCGCCTCTCCCCCAGCTCTCGGTATCGCGTACTGCACGAGGCTACCGTGGGCCCCGCCTGCGCGCTGGGGGTTCCCTGCCCTGTCGGGAAGCCTAGCTCTGAACCTGGGGTCGCTACCTAATGCGGGGCTCCTGGACGGGTGATGAAGTTCGCCTTGAATCTCTCGTCTCGCTTTCCCCCCGACTCGCGTCCGTCGGGGGTACTCCCTGCTTTGGCTCTCTGATCTCCCCCCCCCCCCCCCCCTCCTTTCCTTTTCGGGATGAAAAACGCGCTGCTGTCCCTAAAGTGGGGTCCGGTGTTGAGGGAATTGATTAGGCCCCCTGGTGTCCCCGGCCGCCCACGGACGAATCCCCGAATGGGCCCAAAGAAAAAGGCTTGCCTGTGTGGGGGCGCGCGGGCGCCCACTCAGGCTCGGCCTCCGTTGTCTCAGCCTTCAGTTCACCTCTCCTAGCGCCCGGTTTTGCGTGGCGACCTTCATTTCGGGGTCGAAGGTGCTACACACACTTGCCCCCTGGTGGTCTGGCACTCGGCGTTATCCCTACTGGGGTTAGGCTGTTTTTCTTTTATTTTCTGAATCCCCGCGGTGTTTTTTCTTTCCTGTATCTTTTCTGGCAGATGACAAACAAAAGTAAAAAGTGCGGCAGGGGTTTCGGTGTGGGGTTTGTGCCCGGGGGGGGCGTCGGGCCTTTCCGGTGTATATATTTTGTATCTGGACAGCACAAGGGGGGGGCGTCGGGCCTTGTCTCCGCATCATGTTTTTCTTTTTTGGCAGTAAGCGAGCACACACACACAGAGGCGCAACAGCGTGCACTTACCAACAGTCGAATACGGGGCTGTGTGCGGCAGGCGCGGGCTCGGTCGTTCTCACATGTTCACTGCTGCGGTGTGTGCCCGGGGAGGCGCGGCGGCGGGGAGGATTGGGAAGGTCAGAGAGACTGCAGGCGTGCAGAGGCGCGCGCTGCAGTGTCTCTGGTTGGGCTGCTGGCGGAGTGTGCGCGAGACGTCGTGATGAGGCGAGGGGCAGGCTGTTGTTGCGGGGTGCGGGCTGCATCGTTGAGCGCAGTGCGTGCACATGGTGCTGTATGCTGTGTGTGCAGGCAGGCTGACAGGCTGTGGAGCAGACTGAGCGGATGAGCGCGTGTGCGCGCGCGTGCGGGTGCGTGCGTGCGTGCGTGCCTTGCGTGGTGCGGAATCTGCGTCGTACTCGCGGCGCGTCCTGGTACAGCCGCTTGTGAGATGCCAGGAGCAGTGTGCAGAGCCTGCACAGGGCGCAAAAAGGCGTGCTGGTGAGGTGTGCTGCGGCGCGCGCGTCGCGGCGTGAGTGGATATGCGGCTGCCTCTGGTGGTGCGAGGGGCGCGTGGCTGGTGCGGGCGGCGCGGGACGGCCATGGGGCGCCAGCACAGAGCAGACGCACAGTGGCACAGCTCTGAAATGGCGCTGCGCGTGTTTGCGTGCGCGCGGGGACGTACGTGCAGTTTTCACGCGGTGTGCGTGGAGAGGGTCATGCAGGGCGCCGGCAGCGCGTGGCTCGGCGTGTGGGAGTGTTGGGGTGCCCGTAGGCGCGTGGGAAGGTGCCCGAAGGGCGATCATTTTCGGGGTGCTGGAAGGAACTGTTGTTCACAGCTTCGAGGCTGACTACATTCGCCACGTGCTGTACGCTGACGACGCAGTGCTGCATTCCCGCAATGCCCTGAAGGGAATCCGCTATGACGGCGGCATGCACACGAGCTGCGGCCGTGCCGCCGTCAGAGAATTGTCAGAGTGGCGAGGCGCGGGACCGTCTGTGCACTGTGGCGAAGCGGGTCGCGTCCTCCGATTTCCTCAACTCACGGTCCACACCCTCTATACTTACTTAGCACCCCGAGAGTCTTTTCGGCGTCCAAACGGATCCTCTAGTTCGACCCCACCCACGCCGCGCCGTCCCTCCTGCTCCACACCGTCTCGGTGCGCGTCGGCAGCGCGCCCTCCTCCGCACCCGCCCTCGCCACCTCGCGCAGCATCGCAAAGTTGCGCCGCACGACGCCGAGCTCCGAGTCCACCCGGTACTCGACGCCGTGCTCCGCGCAGAGCTGCCGCACGAGCGGCGCGGCGGAGGGGTAGCGGTAGCGCGGCATGGTGGGCAGCAGGTGGTGCCTACAGGACATGTCAGGGACGTGTCGCGGACATGTCTAGGAGATGTCGGCGAGTTTGGCAGCAAGTGGTGCTCGAGCTGGTACTGCATCCCTCCCCAGAGCCACTCGGAGAACGGGCTGCTCGTCACCGCGTCGCGGGTCGAGTGCACCTGAGACGCGCAAGTCCAAGCGGCGGATTCAACGACCAGTGGTTTACCAGGAATAGATCTAGCAGCCGCGGGTCGAGTGCACCTGCGACGCCACCCAATAATCGTCGCCACATCTCGGCCGCATCTCGGCCGTATCTCGGCTAGATCTCGGCACCTGCGACGCCACCCAGTCGTCTTGGTGCTCGTGGAACAAGTCCTCGGCCTGATGCGAGACGGTGACGATGGTTGCGGTGAGGGCACCGGCGAGGAGGACGTGCCCGACCGCGACGGCTGGCGGCAAACACAGCGCCATCCACCTGCGAGGTGCATCCCCCAACATCAGGGCGGGGATGTGGTGAAGGAGACTACGACGGTCGTAATACAGACGCTGAATACTAGTTTGGAGGCACGGACACGCGTGCAGCTTCTAGGGCCCCCCGCAGGTAGTTGAGGCCCATCGGGGCCGCCTCACGCCAGAGCCGCTTCGACCAGACGGTGCGCGCTGAGTTGAAGCGCCAGAGGGCAAACAGGGCCGAGTAGACCGGGAGGGCGTACAGGTGCTGCAGCCGGCGCCACCTCGAGTCGCGTGCCGGGTCGACGCTGTGAACAGGCACGGAGCGCCTCGAGCCGCGTGCCGGGTCGGTGTGAAGAGCGTCTCTTCACAGCTCACGCTGTGAACAGGCACGGAGCGCCTCGAGTCGCGTGCCGGGTCGGTGTGAAGAGCGTCTCTTCACAGCTCACGCTGTGAACAGGCACGGAGCGCCTCGAGTCGCGTGCCGGGTCGGTGTGAAGAGCGTCTCTTCACAGCTCACGCTGTGAACAGGCACGGAGCGCCTCGAGTCGCGTGCCGGGTCGGTGTGAAGAGCGTCTCTTCACAGCTCACGCTGTGAACAGGCACGGAGCGCCTCGAGTCGCGTGCCGGGTCGGTGTGAAGAGCGTCTCTTCACAGCTCACGCTGTGAACAGGCACGGAGCGCCTCGAGTCGCGTGCCGGGTCGGTGTGAAGAGCGTCTCTTCACAGCTCACGCTGTGAACAGGCACGGAGCGCCTCGAGTCGCGTGCCGGGTCGGTGTGAAGAGCGTCTCTTCACAGCTCACGCTGTGAACAGGCACGCTGGAGCGCCTCGAGTCGCGTGCCGGGTCGGTGTGAAGAGCGTCTCTTCACAGCTCACGCTGTGAACAGGCACGGAGCGCCTCGAGTCGCGTGCCGGGTCGGTGTGAAGAGCGTCTCTTCACAGCGTACGCTGTGAACAGGCACGGAGCGCCTCGAGTCGCGTGCCGGGTCGGTGTGAAGAGCGTCTCTTCACAGCTCACGCTGTGAACAGGCACGGAGCGCCTCGAGTCGCGTGCCGGGTCGGTGTGAAGAGCGTCTCTTCACAGCTCACGCTGTGAACAGGCACGGAGCGCCTCGAGTCGCGTGCCGGGTCGGGCGGCCAGAGGAAGAAGAAGGGGTCGCTCATGATGTCCTCGTCCACGCCAACCTGCGAGGCGGGGAGAGAGGGGGGGCGTCGGGGAATGTGGGGCGATGTGGTCTGCAGCCGGAGGGGTGAAGAGAACGGGGGAGTCACGGCGGTGCGCGCGGCTCTGCATCTCGGACCACCTCGGACCATCGCGGACCACCTCGGACCACCTCGGACCACCTCGGCGAATCTCGGACCATCTCGGACCATCTCGGACCACCTCGGACCATCTCGCCTGGTTGGTGCACGCGTGGTGCAGATTGTGCTTGTTGCTCCACCACGTCGACGAATGCCCGTTCATCAGGGCGCCGAAGCCGCGCATCGCGGCGCAGAAGCGGCCTCGCCCGTGCACAAGGTCGTGCGCGATCCAGCCGGCCGACGTGGAGCCGAGGGCGAGACTGACCTAAGGTGAGGCAGGGGGAAGGTCAATCTCTCTCCACACGCAACGTGGTGGGGCAAGGGCCAGGGCAACCCTCCCGCATCTCTGCTGCTCCGAGGGAGTACCGCCGAGGTATAGCCGAGATGGCGGACGCAGGGCCGAGACATCGCCCGAGGGTCAGCCGAGGTAGGAGGCAGACCGTCGCGAGCAACGGCGCGGCCCGAGCCAGGCGCCAGCCGACGCCATAGCAGGCGAGGCAGGGGAGCAGGTTCTGCGCCTCGCGCCACCAGAGCCGCTCGTACCACCCCTCCGCCACCAGCCTCGCCTGCCAACCATCGGCCTGGTGCTCACTCACAACGGGGCATCACCTGCCCTCTCCCCTCCGCCGCCTCGCCCGCAGCCGCCGGAAGCCAAGCGTCAGCGCCGAAGCCGGCGGCAGCGAGGGCGGCTGCACTGCAGCGCTCAGCCTCGGAAGCCGCGAGAGCATCACCTGTTCACACCTCCGAGCTGTGAAGAGCCGCCATTCACACCGCCCCGCCGTGAAAAGCGCTGTGAAAAGCGCACGTCGGTCGCGTCGCGGCCGGCAAAGCCGTCCAGCCAGTGGACTCCGGCCGGGTGCGCCGCCCGCCAGCGCCTCAGGTCGAACCACTCGCCGTCGATGCGGACGGGCAGCGCCTACTCGATCTTCCCCGTTCCCCGAGATTCTCCCAGAGTCCGCCGAGACCTCTCGCGCGTCAAGACGGGAAGCGCCTCGCGCGAAGCCGGCGAGAGCGGCGGCGGCGGCGTTGATGGCGGCGGCGGCGTTGGTGGCGGCGGCGGCGTTGGTGGCGGCGGCGGCGGGCCGTCCGATTCGCACCGCGCCTCTGCCGCAAAGAGGTCCGCCTCGTCAAGGCTGGCCACGACCTTGACGGGCTGCGGCGGCCGAGCGATGGAGGCCATCGTGCGGATTCCGAGTCTGCGCAGCCGCTGCTTGACAAACAGGCAGTGCCCCTGCACGCACGCGTCGTATGCGGCGGCGCGGCCGTTCTGTGCCAGCCAGCGGTTGACGGTGCGGAACTGCTCCATCGACGGAAAGCCGCCCGGCTCGGACGAGACGTCCCACAGCACCGTCATCGGCGCCTGAAGCGCCAGCGCGTCACCGAGGAACTGCAGGAACTCACCGACCGCCGCGTTGGTGAGGCGTCCTCGCCGCGCGACGATGCACATCCGAGGCAGCGGGTAGTCGGGGCGTGTCTCCACCCAGCCAGAGGCGCCGTCCACGTCCCGCGGCGCGATGAGGTACTCGCGCTGGCCGACCGCCTCATCGCTGGCCACGGAGCTAGCAGGCAGTTCATCGCTGGCCATGGAGCTACCTGACAGCCGCGGCCGCATCGAGAGCAGCCTGAAAGGCTGCCGCGTCGGTGGCGACAGCCAGCCGGCCGAGGAGGCGAGGACAAGCAGCATTTCGACAGCCGGCGCTCGGTGAGTTCAGCAACGCGCCGAGATCAGCAGGATTAAAGAAAAACACGAGGTTTACGGCAATTCTCGGATTTTGTCGCACCCGGCCGCCCGTCGTCGCACCCCAAGGCCGACTTCTACCAATGCGCCCTCCTCGCCGCGCGCGCTCAGGAGGGCCGGCGCGCCTTCGCTTTCAAGGAGAATTTCAACATCGCGCGCGCGGGTGGCCGGTCCCATCCGATGGAGGAGAAGTGCGGGTGGGCCGATGCGACACCTGCGTACCCTGCCTGACTTATCGTTTCCAAATTTTTGAAGTAACAGAACCCATTCATTTCTTTTGGTTTTGTTTTTCATTTCCGATATGCATTTGGAAAGGTAGCCCGGGCGCGGGACGCGCGGTAGTGTTTGTCGCCTCACGCACTATTTAAGAGAACCCATTTCCGATATGCATTTGGAAAGGTAGCCCGAAAGGTAGTGTTTGTCGCCCCACGCACTATTTAGCACTATATAGCAGGGTTCACAAACTTTTACGGTTCACCCAGCATTCAGGGGGGGGGGGGGGGGGCGACGAGCCGAGCTCATCATATCGGTGGCTGGGCCACGGTTATGAGCTTCATGAATGGCGACGGCGACGCTCACTGGGCTGCCCCGAGGCTCCCGGTGCCATCGTCGTCTACGACCGCACTCGCGCACACGGGACGGGGAGGGAGAAAGGGGTCCTCGATCCATAAATCCGTAAATCCGTACATTTGTAATAAAAAACCACCCAGAGACACCCCCACCGCACCCCCAGCTAGCAAGCAGACAGAGACGCAGCCCTCGCGAGACGCTGAGAAGCCGGAGGCTGGCCTCTGCAATGCTCGCGCAACGCGCGGTGTCTGCACGCACAGGAGCTGTAAAACTACGCGTATTCTTCACAAACACAATCACTGTGTCGTCGCGATGTCCTTCCTCCAGCACAAACTCCAGGGGAGGGGGAGCGTTTGCGCCTCATCATCGCTCATCGGACTTTTTGAATATGGAGCCGGCACGCTCTGGCGGGGCGCGCGGCGCCCCCAGCGCCCCGCGGGTGCTGGGCCTGGGGCTCGCGTTACACGTAATGTGCGTGGAGTGAACTGGCAGAGTGGCGACACCGACGCCCCCTGCTCGCTCCCCGGGGTTTTGCAGCAAAGCCGCCACTGCGTGGGTGCACTGCCAAATATGTCTGCCCAGCGAGCGCGACATGGATGGAGCGCGTGAGCGGGCGTTTTGCTGCAAAACCCCAGAGGGGGTCCAGGGGGTCGGGGCCCAAGCACACACACACACACACACACACACACGATGAACATGCGGTTAAAATTATAATCGCGGACCCCGTTTTTCTTTGTTCGTCGAGGCAGTTTCCAAGGCATGGCAGCACCGAGCATCAGGCGAATCGGCCGCCTCTTCGCGTTGCTGTGCGCGGCCCCGCTGGGCCACTGCGTTGCGTTCGGGCAGCGGGCCGGCGTGCAGCCGGTGAGCAGAGGAGGCGGCCCCGAGCGCACCGTCGCGCGCGCCGCCGCGCCGCCGCGCGCGGAGGAGGTGCTCGACGTCACGCGGACCGAGGATACCGTCGACCAGCTCAACGCGGTGCAGTTTGACAGCCGGTGCCACTCGGTCACCACGGACCCGCCGCCGGCCATCGACCCCTTCGCGCTCGTCGAGGGGCTCCTCGAGCCGCTCGGGTCGAACGTCCGCGCGCAGCTGGACCACACCGAGTCGCCCACGCTGCGCGACTCGGCGCAGCACTTCTTCGGCGCGGGGCGAGCGCGCGAGGGCAAGCGCGTGCGGCCGGTCACTCCTGCTGCTGATCGGCGCCGCGACCGCCCTCAGCGCGCCGCAGGGAGCGAGGCCGGAGCCGACCGCTGCGGCCGAGGCGTCCGGCGAGCACTCATACCAACACGCGCAGCTGCGCGATCACG